GTGTCCAACGGTGTTAATGTCTAACTTCAACTGATCCACGAAGTTGAGCAACCATTCACCAATTGTCATCAGTGAGTTCCTATCTCACGACAGACGTGGTTTTGAACTCCACTGGTCACTGCTTCTCACTAGAGCTCCTAGATATACTTCTCGAAATCACTAGTGAGCATATTATTATATTAATTATAGAAGGGATTTTGTGGAGATTTAGTATTTATCATTGTTGAAAGCGTGAGTCAATTGAAGCTAGACCACCATGGAAAACCTGGAAACACTGGACGGCCGTTTCGTCCTATTATGGGACTCCTCAGCAGTGCGCATCCACGAATTATGGAGTTCAAAACCACGTCTGTCGTGAGATAGGAACTCACTGAAGACAATTGGTGGATGGTTGCTCAACTTCGTGGATCAGTTGAAGTTAGACATTAACACCGTTGGATGCCAGCTCAGTGGTCTATCTGTTAAGGGCTTCGGCTCGAGACTGGTAGGTCCTGGGTTCGAATCTCGCTCGCGAGAGCAGGTTCGTGGATGCGCACTGCTGAGGAGTCCCATAATAGGACGAAACGGCCGTCCAGTGTTTCCAGGTTTTCAATTTTGGTGTAGGTTCAATTGACTCATGCTTTCAACTATGATAAATACTAAATCTCCACAAAACCCCTTCTAATAATTAATATATGAATTTAGTTGGGAAATCAGCTGTTATTTAAGTATGAAACGTCTAATTAGGTCTCTGGTCTGTACCATGATTTGCTAGTTGTGGTTTAGAGGGCCAGATGGTATTACCAATACTTTCATAAGTATTGCTGTCCAGAGCCAATAACATAAACCTATATTTCAAAAATGAGTCGTCTTACCACTCATTTTCTGTTCATCCTCTCTCCATATTACAATATCTAATCAGTGATGAAGTAACCCAATCTGGTTATTTTCAAGCTTATCCAAAATTTGATGCCTACAAAAACAAACAATATATGCCTTGTATAAAAGAAGAAATATAGAATCATTTATTTCCACTGAACTAAATTTTGGTAAAAGATAGTCAGCGTAAAATAAAAGCTCCAAATGGATTGATGTAGATTATGATGAAATTCGAGAACTTATTTCGTCCATTATCCTCTAAACATAAAATAAAGGGATGAATTAGAAAGGAATTAAATAAATATGAGTTGTAATCATTAGTTAGAGATCCTAAATTTTTGTGGACGACTAATTGTAAATTTTTGTAAGAAAATACTGAAATAATTGCACAAATGGTATTTAATCATAAGTATATATCAAACAAATATAATATCGGGTATGTGGTTAGAGGTTGTTAGCAGGAAACTTCAAACCTAGGATTTTACTAGTTGGAACACATCAAGAAAAGGTACTCTAATCCATGAGAAGTGATAGTTTTAATGAGATTTATGCCGAAACTTTAGGTTGTGAAGCTGGTCATTTTCAACTACTTATCATCAAAACATGGTGTGCACAATGTCAGTGCACAGGTAGATAGATTTTCATCAGCATTAAGGACCAGACTTATATAGCATTAGTTGCTGTATAGTGATCGTTCAATGTGTGAACACTCTCTAGAGTGTGAGTAGCAAGGTGGCAGCTCACTCTTTATTTTATATACACGTTATTTAAGGATAACTAATATAGAATTTTATGAGGTATGATATTTATTGTTATCTAGCACTCTGCATAATAGTACGCCTAGATATTTTCTTTTTTGACAGTGATATAATTTGACTATCATGGTACATACGATACATTTTAGTATATGAGCTTATATATAAATAATTAGGTGAACACATTCCTTTTTATGCTCTAATTAAACTGGTTGTTTAAAACAACAGTATTTAATTACGAATGTAAACCAATGCGTATTAAGCTGTATAATTTTGATTGAGTATATAATGTAGTTAGTCAAGAATTTACATTCCATAATAAACGTGAGAATTCATTTTATTTAACCGGAAAAACAGGCTATTTTAAATTTCTGTAGTTCTGAAAGAATTATTTTATAAATGGCGAAGACTGGCAAGAGTTCGAGAAGAAAGCCGAATGCAAAAGTACGATTCAATAATATACCATTACAGCTAAGTGAAAGGCCTGGTATGTTGAGAATGTTTTTTTTTAGAAGAAAAGCTGTTGTAATATGTCAGAATAGTCTTTTAGCAGATTTCTAATCATTTATGTATTAAAATTGCAAATTAGAAACTAAAAAATTATGACGTTAAAGGTTGATATTTAATTGAACTCATTATTACAGATCTTAAGTTAACCCTTCTTTAAATACATGAAAATTTGAATTGTGAGCATTATAAAGTAAGATTGTAATGTGAGTTACTATGCTAAGCCCACATGGCTTATTCTAGCGTCTGTGCAGGTCACTTTATCCATTCTTCTTGAGTCACGTTTTGACCTTGTTAATTATTCACTTATCAACCTTGACTGTTTTATATGAGCGTGTGTGTACACTTCTTATCCTATTCATCACATGCCTGTAACCTATTTTTTATTTGGCTATAAATATTGATTAACGTTTGATTAAATTGAGTTGGTTCACACACCTCCACTGCACGTCATTTCACTTCGTTCTCTTCTCTTCGCTTCGTCCCTCAGATTGTCGGTCCACATCAATAACTGTATAAAATACACGTATTCAAAACCCATTCTCGTATATGACTTATTTAATTCCGTTATTCACTAACGCGATTTAAGTCGATGATTGGGTGCATGTATATTTCAATGACATTCATACGATCCAATTGCAGTCAGATATAGGGCAACTAAAAGATAATCATTTATGGTAATATTCATCGGTTCTAAGCAAATAATACTGAAATATTTGTTGAATAAAACGTGTCTTTAGAAATTCTACGTGGAAATAATAATGCCGTTTATAGTTACATGAGAAATACATAAATAAACATCATTCGTTACTGATCTAGTTATTATAGGCAGAAATTGTTTTTACACGAGTCATTATTTAAAACATCCCAAAGGTAAATTACGTTAAAAGCTAAGTAATCTTATAAAGTATATTAACTTCTTATTCTTATCAACATTAAAGCTGGATTTAGTCATTAGTAAATGGAATGAATAAAATGAAATTTATACGACTGTTAAGTTTTCGAATGTTTCATAGATCAGTGTGTTCACTTTATTCAACAACAATAAACATTCGTCCAGTGCTTCCAGGTTTTCCATCGTGGTCTAGCCTCAATTGATTCATGATCTCAACTAACAAAACAACAATAAAATACTTCACAATTTATTCAGTTTTAATAATTTGATTTCTTTAATTATTTAAATTGTCAATGAAAGTTACTTTTAAGTATTTAAACTGTACACACATTGTTAATCAACAGCTTTCATGGTAATATCGTACTGTTGAATTATATTTTTTCCTAAGTTTAATCTTAACTGACAGCAGAATATACATAATATATTGTATATCTGATATACAGTTAAAATATCGTCATTTTAATTTCTTTACCACGCATGCTTCGTGCACTGAATGATGCGGAAGACCTTATATCTTGTTTCATGAGTTGAAACGAATAATAGTTGTAAATTGTTTCAACATGAGACTACTCTGAAGGGCTTTGAAAAAGTTTAATAAAATAATTGTGATTTTCCGAGTTCGTGTGTTGTTGATATCAAAGACTGAATTCTGTCTGAACCGGTTACCTTGATATTGACTTTAGTTACAAGGTTTACTATAATTAAAATGTGTTTAGCAGTGGAATCTAGGACATGGACTTCAATCCATTTCAGAATCATCAGCTAGATTCATTGCTACCCTAGTGTTAATTTTCACGCGAGGACCCTGATCTATGCGTTACCCACTGTCAATAAAGTCATCGCATCGTTTAACGGGTAACATAGTGAATAATGGATTGGTGTTTGGGGTGTAATGTATTATTTTTGAGTTTAAGTGTGAACATCAATACTGAAATGAAGGTATATCCATACAAAGAGTTCAAAACAGGACGATATGAGAGAACTAGATCCCAGTGTTTGCTGAAATTCAACTATACTGAAACTTCTAATTGAATTCATTGAGTGTAAAATCGTAAATTAAAGTGTTATTATTCCGAGGTTTCCATCTAATCATTAAACTTGGCTACATATCTGATGTATTAATTATCAAAACTTATCCTTATAAATATCAATATAGACGTATATTTAATTGTAAAAGAAATCATTCTGTAATACAAAAGAAGTATTTGAATTCTTTAGTTTCCTTATTTAGATGTTAGGATTGTAATTACTATCATGCTTCCTATTTCTCATTCATTACTTATATCAACTTTTTAAACTGAACGTATTTATTTGTGTGTATTTATGATTACAAAGGTCATTAATAAAATCATTTTAAAAAAGGGACACTAGATAGATGGCTGAACAATAGAGACGTCCGAACTTATCTTTATTTAATTAGTCAAATAATGTATCACGCAACTGATGAGTCACATCAGCTTTAGTCACTATTCTAATTAGTTATTTGAACATTTTTCTTTTCCAAAGTCGATTTAATATCTATTTACTAAGATTAGTACTTTTATTTACTCATGATATAATATTCAGCATCGGAAGTAATAAATGAATAATACTGTTCTAAAAGAAACCAGTGTTCTGACTTTAAAGTGATAAATGCATATAGAAAGATAAATGGATAGATGAAGTCCCGCTTGCAGAATAGTGTGTGTGCTCTTCTGAGTAGTCTTTTACTAGCACGAAGCGGCCGTTCAGATGTGCAAGGTTTCAATATTGATCTAAATATATTTACGCCTGCTTATTTCAGTTCATTTTAAAAGGAATAAACAAAGGTAGTACCATTACCATTGAAGTTTTGTGTGTTGATGCATATTTGGCAAGAAAATATTACTGTTTATGAATCAGTGTTTCATTTGCATTTTTATTGTTTTTTACTTATTCATTTTTATAAATAGGGAAGGTTGTATAACACTTACATTCTAATAAATTTCTGAAACATTTCTTTGCAGCTCCATCCACGAATAGTGTTAGGAATGGATCAGCGATCTTGCAGTTGTTATTAGCAAACCGTGACAATATTGCGTAAGTAATAAAATAAGCATTTATGGTTTACAGTATACCTTATTTACTTACCTATTCCACTCATTTTAATATAAATATTATTCAAAACAGTGGTTCCCTTTGATAAATTTGAAACTGTATTTACACGAATAACATGTTGCTTGTATGTGACTGACGAGAAAGCACGAAATGGTACTATCTCACAAAATTTGTCTTCTCATTTCTCTGTTCAAATAAATATTATTAATTAGTGAACACTTGAATAAGTCAAGGAATTCATTTATACATTGAACCTTCAATCATCCTAATAATCCAAGCAGTGGTTTCATTTGATCCATTCTTTGCTTACATTCTCTGTTAACAAGGTAGAAATATATGACTAAAGAGTAACAAGGTTAAATTTTTTAATACTCAAGTTCACAAATGTCATTTGAAAATGATCTAGCAATGAATGTTCTGTTGTTATCTTTTAAAGTGGTGAAGGAATTAGAATGATGTGAGTATTTATTAACTAATACCATCTATTTAATTAATTAAAGCAGAAATTTATGTTACGGTAAGATGATATGTTAATTATCGCTCGAGAAAATTAGCTTAATGGTAAAGTGCTGAAAACTATCTCTTCATATGAGTAGTTTATTTCAAATGAGTTTGGCTGAAAATGAAACGATCTACAGAAATATATGCTTGTACGGAAACTATTGTGTCAGAACAGTACACCTTCTTAAATTTATTACTTATTTTACGGAGTGTTAAACAAGATTAAACTTGGTTTTCATATCTGTATAACATAAAATGAGTCATCATGACTATTTTGATTCGTTTTTAATAGACTACGTATTTCGTGTTTCTATGATTGATAACGTCCAATTTATAATGTATATGTCATAACTGAAAAGTAAATGTGATGTATTTTATCCATTGCTTCTTTTAACTTTTTATTACTCAAAAATGAATAACATGTGTTTTTTCTACATTTCTCATGCACTTGAAGCTCTAATAATTTAACACTTAATTAGGCCTGTTAACCCTTATACACTACAAGCTACCTACAAGGTATCTCCAACATACTCTGACCTGGGCTTTCCTTTTTAGATGTTGCCAAATACGATCCATCCTCTTGATATCGATCTTTACTTTCAGATGATGTATTTGTTGATTTTGCTCTTTTCATTTTGCGTTGAGATCTCAAAGTCAAGGCTTACTTTGTCTGATGATTTCCGCAGTGGATATCTTGTCTAACTCCAGTGTCATTTCCTGGAAGTAGGTTTGTTCTTCTCCATAATTTGCAACTGCTGATAATCTCTGGCTTATGAATCTACAATATCTTTCGTAGACCCACTCTATCGCCTATCTAAAATTAAGATCAGGAAAAGCATTGGCTAGGGATCAGTTTATAAGCTTCAGGATTTATCATGACATAACCAATTTTGGAAAACTTAAACAACGATAAAATCCATGCGTCAATATTTATAAAAACTCACAGTACATATCAAGAAATACTTCATCAACTTTGCTACACTCAGAGGTGCAAAATTCAACAGTTACTGATATCAAGTCCATGGCTTCTTATATGAATTCAAAGTGGTTTCCACAAAAAGACTATTCAATTAAAATGTCAATATAAGCTTGTTCGTTGTTTATGCATTACAAAGGAAATTTGTCTTCTATATCAGTGAAATAGATATGTCTTTTGAATATTGTTTAGGCTAACCTATAAGTATCACTAGTAGGAAACGATAGAAAAATCTAGTTTGTATGTATATAGTGTCATCTTTTAAAGCTATCGAGTCAAAATATCATTTTTCACAGGTCTCACACCGAATGTTTGTGAAAGTACATTTATAAGCGCTAATTAAATGATTTCATTTGTTCGTTTAAGCCAGTGCAACCTTCATTCATATAAAATATTTGGTTAGCTAAAGTAATTTGGCACGCATTGCTATTCGATAAGTTATCGTTGAATTGCTGCACAATCAAAAACAGTGTCCACCGTTGCAGCTAAAGTATTTTTTTAATCAATATGTCGTACTATTAGGTCTTTTTCCTGTTTCACGTATTCTGGATTTACTATGCACTTTTCGTGAATATGCTTTGTACAATCGTTATTATTGTTGAGAAACCGTGAATGGTCAAAGAAAATGAGTTATTTTAGAGTACTTATTGCACATGATTAAAACGATCTTTCGGTAATTCGAGACGTATGTGATATTGACTGAAACTCTTATTGTTGGCAATGGACAAGGATCACTTTGTAGGAAATATTACTAGGGATTTACCAAAATAACCAAAAATTTTCAAGCCAATCGGTTAAAGATGTCGAGATCACTACCAAATATTAAGGTCATGGCATTATCCGTGATTCTTTTTATTACCGCTAGTATCACAGAACTCGAATTCGTGTAGAGTCGAATACAGGTAAGCTGTCTTGAAACTGTTACTACACATGTTTTTTCATCAGCCGACAGATCCCAACAAGAATTACAAACTTCTCATTCAGCTATTTTAATGTAGTTACCAATAGTTAAGTGCTTATAAATACTGCTTAAAATGGCTTTTATACGTTGCTTTATGAAAAATTTTTCTATCATTTCCCAGATAAAGTAAATCCATGTTTTTTGGCTTAATTGAGTTTAACTAGGAGAGTTTTAAATACCGAATAATCGTCAGGGTTTGTAAGGCTGTTTATTATATTCGACATCTAGCCTTGATCAAATCATTAGAATAAATACTGGAAAAAACGGTATTTTGGTAAAACTAAATCATTTGGTACATTGAACAAGCATTAACTTATTCATTAGTTGGACAATTTGATTTATAAAAAAAACAGATTTCGACTTTGACATTTCAGTTAATTTTCAGAACCATAATGTTCACTAATAGCGAATTATTGATCTGGATAATAAACTATCCATTTTTCATATGATATGATCAAAATCCAAATAATACCTTATATATATGCTGTTTTCTTTACATTCATACATTTAAACAATATATCCTGTAATTAGTTGTTTAGTCTATAGTATACGGCTATTACGCAATAAACATACATTGTTTGTTATATTTCGATGGATTTATTTCGCATTATAAGTAGGTTGATACATGCAAGTTGATGTTTTTGAACAGTCGTATGTGGTGGTCATAGCCTTAATACTGGTTGTATATCAAGACACTTACGTATGACTATACACGTTATTTTAATTGTGATAAGTAAAGGTAGATAAGTTGACATTTATGCATAAAACACTTGTATTACATAACCGATCTACAATTTGCAAATAAATACGGCAGAATAAATTTAGAGACTAAATATACATGGACAAGGTAAAGCGGCTTCTATTTCACTTGAATTCAGTTATCACGTTGAGCAACATGTATATTTGCAGTTTTCCAAAGGCACTAAGTAATAACGAAAATGTCTAATAAAAACCACTTATATACTTGGCATGAAATTCTAATTAATAGTAATAATAATTTACAAATGAATCGAGATACGATCTTCTCTCTCCATATAACTGCTCAAAGTTTCTGTGATTAAGCTTAGAATTATATTTTATTAAGAATATACTAAATTTGAACATTTAGATTATTCTGTTTGTCTTATTTTGCAGACTCATCAATTATATTCAGGAGTCGCTCTGAATTTTGTATATCGTAAACTAATATATCACCACTAGATAGATGATTATCTTAATTCTAACTTATAGCAACCTTGTATATATATAGAACATGAAGGAAACAATTCTCATCAAGAAAAATGATTACACTTGACATTTTGATGATAGTTCATGATAAATTATATATTATATTTTATCAAAATTGTTATTGATAATGCTGTAAAAATATTTATGGATATTTCGTGGATAGGTTGAAGTTAGACATTAACATCGTTGAATGCCAGCTCAGTGGTCTAGAGGTTGAGCACTCGCGCGCGAGACCGTTAGGTCCTGGGTTCAAATCTCTCGAGATGGGATCGTGGATGTGCACTACTGAGGAGTTTCACAATAGGACGAAACAGCCGTCCAGTGCTTCCAGGTTTTCCATTTTGGTGTAGGTTCAATTGACTCATGAACTCAGCTATGAAACTACTAAAATCTCCACAAAATCCCTTCTGAAAATATTTATATGTTGAAAGATAAAGAATTATAACTTGTTAGAAGATTTACACGTTTAAAGTTGGTATCCTTTTTGAGCCAAAGTAAATAGTATTTTATTGAAAAAAAGACTTTTTGTTTTAGTCTGAACTATTGTTTTACTTTTTGGGAAAGAATTCTGTTCATCATTTCTTTTGAACCTCATTTCAGTCATATATTTTAGGATAAGTTAAACTCCTTAATTGTGGTCTGAAATAATTCTGCCTTCTATTATATTAAAACAATTTTTATGTGCATTCAGGTTCATTCTTGTGTTTAATTAATTCTTCGACAGGGATTTGGATACCACCAACTTGCCTAGAATGATTGCTCTTCAAAGAGGTTCGAATGGCTTTGGATTTGTTGTACGAGGTAAAAAAGGTAGGCAAATGATTGAATAGGAATGAAATTATAATGCTTTACTTTTTTTAACAAATTTAAAAACCATTTAGTTTTTTTCTGCCAGTGAAACAATACCTTAATTAAAATTGTATCAAGATTCGAATGTTCGCTTGTTATTTTGTTACTAGCACTTATATGCATTAATTTTTGACTGAAAACACTCGGACCAAAGACAGTTATCTAAACTAACATTTTGGTTATCTGTGGCTCTGAATGAGTTAATACAGGAGCAGTTAATGTTTGCTTCTTATTTACACCCATCTGAGATTTAAATTTATTTATGAGGCTACGACACTGTCAGTTTTATATTGTGTTTATCAGTGCTTTTGGTGGTAAGTGTAAATATTTATTTACTGAATAACTTTTAACTCTATAGACTAGAATACTCATCGATAATCAAAATATGTACTCGGTAATAATCATGACACTAATGAACAATAAGCATATTTGTATATGTGTGAAAATGAATACATGTAAATACTAATATTCTTAACGAATTTTTCCCTTAGGATAAATTGAGACCACTGTTATTTTCACAGCATTCTTCTCATCTTCAACTTCATTTGTTTTATTGAATTTTGTCTTCCAAAAGTCGACTGTCATATTATTTCATTTTATATTATCTGATGCTTTAATTTCTATGCTTCTCTCATTACATCAGTCTGCAATGGAAAATAAACGAATCAAATTTCAAAACTCGATGGGAATCGCTTTTTTCGCCCATTTGTTCTTATTTTTCTAAAGGCGGTAACGACAATAATGATTACTATTAGAACGTGGTCAACATTCTTTTCATAAAATTACATATAAAAAGAGTATGTTGGCTAGTTCAGGTGAGGCGTTACCCATTACTTCTTCCATAGAAAGGATAGTACTCATGAGTCATACATATGTGGGCGTAACCTCTTAAACAAATTCCTGTATAGAAATAAACATATACAATCAATAATTTATTAGTAATGCGATTAATAGTTGTCTCTTGTACGTCATTAAGTTTGTTACTTTAGTAACCTTCTATAAAAATATGTTTATTGGCTGTTAAGTTGTAGATACCTGTCATTCTTTCCTGTCAAAGAAACAATTCTTAAAGATTTAAGATACCAATCGCGTATCACTACCTTGTTAAATGTTCTAGACTATCGTCTAATTGTAAAGAATATGTTACATGAGCTAATACTGGAAACCATTCAAATTGGGCTATAACTAAATAACGACAAATCCAGTTTTTCGTATGAAACCGAAATACTTTCATGTAAGCCGGAATTCAAGCAGTGTTCAGGAATATTTAAATAGGAAGTACATTTGCCCTTTTTGTGACCAATAGAACAAGTTTTTTGTCACAGAATATTGCCCTTGTTTTAATTACGAAAATCGTATTGTAGTGAACAGAACACGACTGGGGACAATCGAATGTATTTAAGCAAAAAATACAGACTATCTCAGTAAATTCTGACAACCATACAATGAACAGTCAATTTGCAAATTAACAACCAGTAGTCTCGATCTTCACTATTTCTTCTCTAATTCCATTGTTTGTCCATTTTCCTTCCGATTGCGCTTCGTTTCAGTTCTTTCCTCATCGGTCTTCTGCGAAAATACATTCTATGTCTGACCAACACCGTATACTACGTATATGGATATAAGTAGACCACACCACAGTATATGATATTTTAAACTACTCAACTGTGTAAAAATCGATATCCGCCTATACCGTCTTTAGTAGATACAACTCAAAAATGATTGTTTAACATAAGGTGTGTTTTAATAAGTATTTCAACGCAAATCCATCTATGTGATAAGACAGATATGTGATTGGGTTTAAACAGCTTATTCAATAACAGGTTAGTGCAAGTGAAACAATACATTGTATACACAAAAAAATGCGTTTCATAGATATCAAGTCAAAGCCATCAATTCTTTAACTGAGAAGTCAATCATCTGCAACCCTTACAGCTATATGATCAAAAATATTGCATTACAATACCATGTATGTTAAGGTGTACGAAGAAAAGTTGATTGACGTCGGTGAAATAAACTGAAAATGATGAACTTACACATCTGTTACTTTTGAAGTGCCTATTATTCATAAAGTCGAAAGCTTAGAAAAAAGAGAAACATTTTCACTCTAAGTTTTTGAGTTGATACTAGTAACATATGGTCATGTCAAATTAGAACAAATAGGTCTTTAGAAAATCTTTCAAATTTCATAAACATTTCTATCCAAATGCTTTTTTTACTAAAATTAATTTAAATTGAAACCTTCACTGTGAATTTACCAGAATTATTCTGTAAACGCTTTCAAAGAACTGTCATTGTTAAACTCTGAATTATGTGTATTAATTTTTGGCCTTTTTGTACAGGAGTATCCGGGAATTTTACACCATCTCTTGAGTGTCCAGCATCACAATACCTTGAAAAAGTTGAACCGCATAGTGCAGCAAGTAGGGCAGGTTTGAAAGCAGGTGATTTTATTTTAGAGGTAAGTTAAATTTTAAGAAAATAATAACTCAAGGTTAATGGGTGTCAAATATGTGGTTGGGTTAATTCTAAGCTTTTAAGCGTTACTAATTACTTATCGAATAAACATTTTTAGGCTGGTATTAATTAGTATTTATTGAATTAGCCTATTCATTTAATTTCATTCAAACTAATGTATTTTAAAACCATCCTTCTACTCAAACAGAGGAAGAAGTAAAAAAAATAATAATAGACGTATTTCACAAAAAGCTAATTAATTCCAGTGATTGTTAGATATTATTAAAGAAAAAAAACAGGTTTTCGGTTTCGCGTGCGAACGCCTAATCTCTAGACCACTCAAAACCATAGGTCGACTGAAGTTAAACATTAAGATTGCTGGCTCAGTGATCAATAGGTTAAGCGTTCGCACACCTGATCGAAGGTTCTGAGTTCAAGTTCAGTGTGTACGATCGTGGATGTGAACTGCTGAGGGGTCCCATACTTTGGTGAAACGATCCTCCAGTGCTTCCAGGTTTTCAATGGTGATCTAGCTTAGATCGACTCTTGAATTCAACTGTTATATTTTCATGTTTTGCTTATTTAGTTTTGGAACCTGTATATTCCAGCTGTTGTTGTAATAGTGGTCATTTCAGAATGTAATTTTTGGTCATCAATCTGAATAGTACATCTTAGATACAATCATTATTACTGTTAAGACCAATGGGATATTATACATGAAGCAAATTTGAATGAATGGGTATGGATGCAAGTATTTATACTTTTTATACAACGTTCTAAAAAACGTCTACTATGAACCTGGAAATTTGCTCAGATATGTTTGTTTGATATTGAATTTCTTTAGTTTGAGATAAATGTTAAACACTCAAAAATATCGCTCAAGGACTTATATTGTTTTAGATTAGAATGGAAATTTTGTTATTTTTTAGTTCGATTGTTCGAAAACGTTAAGATTCTATGAACATTGTAATTATCATGAATATTCCATGAAAAATAATAGAATGTAACTATGTAGGGGATATATATGAAATTTCAGTGAAAAAGATATTTTTTTAAAAAGGCCGGCAAATAACACCGGTTTACACACAGTTTTATACCAAACACACACAAAGTTTTAAAACCATAGTTTAAAAACTGGTCATATCAGCAGTGTAACGGGCTTCATAAAACTCCATGAATTCATTAGTTAAACGCATTCACGGTGTTTGTTTTACAACAGAAATACTTGATATACAAAAATAATTTTCGTAAGAAAATGAATATGATCCGTCAAAACTGACAGTAAACTAAGTTGTTTCTGATCGTAAATACTGGTGAAATTTTTAAAAAAACATTGATTATGGTTTTTGGATGAATAGATGCTTACGTACTTATAAATAAACGGAACACTATTCACTTTCAATATTTGAAAAATGTTTTTCTTATATGTTATTGATTTATAAAGAATTTGACAGTTTCAGTATGTTTCAATACCATCAACGAACATTTGAAAAGCTGAGTACAAATAGTTATTTCATTCTACTGAGAGAAATCTCATGAAACTTACGTCATTATGATGATGTACTTTAACAGTTTCTAAAGAATCTCTGTATACCAGCGGGTATAGTCATGAACAAATTAGTTGCTTAAAAGTCATTATAAACTGCATTGTTCGGGTAGCATTCATTGGTAATATACAAACAAATACATGTAGTCCGTTCTTCGCGTTACTTAAATAACTAATAAAATTAGAGACTAAAACGAAAACATAGTAAAGTCTTCGAATCTTTAAATTGAAGCGCCAAGATGAGTAAAATACTAATTTCGGATACAAATATCGACAATTTTTTAATGCATTTTATATCGTTAATCAACCGTCTGGTTTGTTTGAATTTAACAGTACGTGTTTAGTTACTGTTTTTAATAGAAGTAGTATAAAATTATATCGATCTTGTGTTATTATCAGAATATTGGTGGACATAAATGGAAATCCGGAAAATCACTTCGAAACGTTTAACAACACCGTAAATACACTGTAAATTCAACACCTGCATGATAATCCAGATGGTTGGACCCCAGTTGTTTTATTCTAATTCCACATCAAAACAGTTAGTGAGGACAATGATGGAATTTTTCAGAGAATGGTAAACTGACTGAAAATGAATAAGCAGATTTATTATAATTATTAGTGATTAATAATTTAATTACTTCGTTTCAGTCAAACAATCCACAGTGTCAATCGCATAATACGTTTTCGGCCGTAAAAGAGGAAATTCATTGGTTTGCTGAAAATTATATTATATTATTATTCTATAAAAATACAATCTATTACCTGTCTTTCAACGGAATGGATAAGTATTGTTATTTGATCGGCTGTCAGTGGTAAAGAATATTTGCGTCTGTGTTACTGTCGTTCCCATGGTCCTTCAAGAGCATTTTTGACACCGACGAAAACATTCTAATATCGTATGACAAAAAAACTTCAATCTTATTTACATAATGTGAATAACTTTTTTCCAAAAACGCCAGTTCAGTTATTTATCACTATTTTATCCTTATCTCCTTCAGGTAAACAATATCAACGTTACTACAATGTCACATGAAGCTGTTGTCTCACTTATTAGAGGTTCCAGTGATATTTTAGGTTTAAAAGTGATAACTGTAGACTCTGATCAAATCAATTCAACTCCCAAATTATCACATCAATCAGTAAATAGTAAGTAATAACGAAAAAATATTCATATTATTTTTCCCATTATTTTGGCCACAGTGATATTGCTTCAATGTAAAGGATGAAAATACTTTGTTTATATGCAAACATAATAACTTATATTTCAAGAGTAACATCTGATGACTCAGCAATCGACATTGACAGAATAGAAACTCATAATAACTAATCTACCTAATTTTCACTTGCTGTTTGCTGATTTGAATTTCTGGTGGGAGTTACATGTTTAAATATTCAGACATTTACAAACGATTCCATTTTTTTGTAATAGCCTGTAAGCAAACTGGCACAATGCATTATTCATTTTACTCCTAATCTCTATGGACGTCTGTTGTTACGAGTGGTGTCCAAAATTTGATACTGATACACAGTGTTCTTTGCGCTAAACCCCCTCAACTGACTAGGTCAGCGAAAACACAAGAGTGAGTTGGACGATGTATTGGGCCTCTGAATAAAATGCACGTTCATTCATATGTATACCACTCTAATCCTTAGGAATTTTATCCATTTCCTAGCCAATGAAGTGCACTTTTTCTTTAGGTCATTTCTGATTGTCATCGATCGATCTTCTCATCAGGATACTTCTGATTGGCTCTCCATATCAACTTCTATGCGAATGTGTACTCATATACTCTTAGAACGAAAGGTCTGACTTATGGTTTTGAGTCATATACATTTGTTTCAGTAATGCTTATTGTGTGAATACTATAAATGAGACGATTCACTATTTTTGTCAAATTTCGATTTTCTCAATTAATAGCGCCTTTACTTTCATTGCTATCGTTATAATTTAATGGATTGTTCCATTGACACAGGATTTCTTTTTTCTTGTCATTTTTAAACCATTTTAAGACCCATTCTTGACCACGAAAGTATTCATAATCAAAATTTCCTCTCTAGGTAACAGATTTTATGAATCTTCAGACAACATTTACAGTTCAAAAATAAAAAAGTCCAATTATGAGGATAAGTTTTCAAACAAATATTGTGTCTCTGTCGAAAATGATTGGCCTAGGAGCACTGAAAATGCTTATAAAACTGTTTGTAGAGACTCATTTCATAGAAATCAGAATAATCTTTCAATACAATTAGATAACTCAACAAATAAATCTTCGACCAATGACTTTATTTTTGGAGAAAAATTAAAGTCTCTTCGACTAGAGCCCAGTTCATCAGTATCCTCAATGACCTCACCTTCATATAGAACTCCAGCCCCACCACCATTGTCAAGTAAACCAGTTCTAACAACTGGAACTTTATCTAAAAGTGGATTCCAAAATGGACCAAATGATAATAAAAAAGCAGAATCTAATCTGCCTATTATCTTAAAGGTAAGTATATTAAATGAGGATTTAATAGTTTTTCTAGTATTGACAGTTTTATGTTCTACGACTAAATGTATCTTGCTCACTGATTTTTCAACTTTAGAATCCTAAAACTGATGCAAGATTCCGATCGATATTATTATTTTATTTTCTTCAAACTACCTGTTTGTATGAAAGTGAACTGCCCACCAGTGATTGTTTCTTGATGGTTTTCAGAAACATCAATAATAAATCCTGAAATTCTATGTGGACAGTTTCAGAAGTGTGACATTTATTTTCAAAACGTAAGATCCAAACAAGCTGTATAAAGAAACAGAATTTTTGAAAATATTTGTTAATAAATTCAGGAGTAAAGATAATTAACTCTCTTCGAGAATCCAGATTTTTAAGTTTAATTCTTGTGTTATAGGACAAAACTGACATTCAGAGTTTTTAAAGTGATGTCAGTTGTTCACTGAAAATTCCTTGAATCTGAATGAAAATCTGTACTGAGATAAGACTAAAGACAAATAGTGAATATCTGAAGGCTATAATTACCGCTCCATAAGGGGAGATTGCTCCAAATGTTTTCTACCAAATGAAAACTGTCCAAATATTTTCCTGGCACCTGATTTTGGATGTATATTCATTTTATTTTAAAGTCATATTACATTTTGAGCCAAGTACTTGGTGTTGCGATGTCATTTGACAGACTTTATCATCAATAAAATGATCGATAACCGAAATCGTTAGAAGCTCTGAGTTGGCGGTTCAGTAACTAGGTAGTCTGACACCTGGAATGATCTCATTGTCACTGTAGCCATTTATATTGTGGTTGTCTGTTATTTGCAATTAAAATTAAATCATTTATTTTAGCTTTTTATGACTAGAATTTTGTTTAATCTCTTCTATTTATAGCAGATATTTTGTCTCCTCAGTAATATTTAATGTGAGTCCTATGTTTTTTAGTCCAGGCCAACACACTCAGAAAAAGTTTTCGATTCTGTAAGTAAACCTGAAAATTCCTTGTCCTTTGATCATCCACCTCCTCCAACTGCACCTCCTATATCTTCTAACAGCTTTAATTTAATACCATCTCCACCGCCACTAACGAAAATTTCAAATAAAACGTCTTCCAATATAAACTCTGAATCGCCAACAGGAATTCTGAAAAAGACATCACATGATAAATTTTCAGAAAGTACTAAACCGTCTAAAAATTTAGAAGATACTCGGAACCAGGACATTTGGTCAGATCAGCTCTTACTCCCTCCACCCCCTCCTCCAGAGGAATTCGAACTAAATGTTACTGAACCGGCGACTCGGCAGTCTAATTGCCAGCAGAATACTAATGGTTATGATATTAACAATCATACCTCTTACAAAACCTTTTCATCATCACAAACTGCTAAGAAAACATCTTTTGAAGATAACCTTAGAAGGGCGGTAGCTGAACGCCGTCGTCTGATTGAAATGGCTTCTGGAGAGGATGACCATGATTCTGAATCAATACCTAATAAAAGCTATCATAGTACAACGTATACTGAGAATAACACAAGACCTTTAAAACAGCAAGGAGAAATTGTTTCATCAAACGAAAAGTCATTTAAAACAGCTCCAGAAAACCCACATGTTCAGGCATTATCTGGTATTTTACCAACAAACAGCACTATTCCTCCTCCGGAAAATTTTAAAGATTTTGATAACTCCATCAATAAAGTTCCTTGTAATACGGAAATAAACATTAATGACAAGGTTCAGATAGCAACTAAACCAAAGTTTCCAATAATGCAATCATCTTTTACCAAAACTTTAAACAAAACCCAAGGTTCAAGAAATGTTGAACAAGGTAAATGTAATTCGGTAAATTCATTGACAAATTACACAACCAATATCAGTTGTAACGGTGCACATAAAGCTGATGTGTTGCGAGAGATCTCGACATTTAAACAGAACAATGTTACCGAATCGAAAATGAATTCTGGAAAATCTATTGGTTATCCTAGATCCACAACACCCTCATCGTTTCATTCATCACCTTATTTTATTTCCGAAGTTCCTAAAATAATGTGGTCTACTAAATAAAATCATTTCAAGAAAGTACAATAATCTATCTGTTGATTAACTTACTTTTTCCTGTTACCATGTTAGTTAAACAGACTGTTAATACATGCTCAGATTCTTATTATCGTACAAAATGAAGTACTTTTCAGGAAATTTATTGTGTTTTTTTTAACATATAATAAATAAATGTCAAATTGGTCAAGTTGTATAAAAAGAACAAAAAAACCAAATTTATGCTTGTCCTAACATAGAAAATTGTTAACAATATCCAGTGATTTAGTTTTTAATAAAGTAAAACAGCTTGGCATTCATTTGTTCATTCAGATAAGCCTGTTTAACAACAATCAATTGTTCACCAATCAATTAATACCCCGTATACTCTGAGAAGTGTGAAATAATCTCGACAAGTTTTTTTTTAAGAAAAAAACTATTTTATCTATTGGATTTTTCTTTCTATTTATTTCTTTTCATTATCATGTCTTATTGTTCATCCATTTAGTTATTTATCTTAATTAAAATAACATTAAGCTGTACTGATCTCTTGGAGTAATGAATAATAAATAGCTAATTAAACGGATTTTCATTCGTTAATGTATTTTTTTTTTCAAATCCAAATCATTGTTTATTCAAAAGAATGCAATTTTTAATTTAAATAAAATGAACAGCAATAAAAACAATCAATAATTTTAATTCACTTAGTATTGTTTGTTTGAATCTTCCCACTGATGTTTAGGACTGCAACTGGTCAGTCTCTAATTGGCATATGTGCATACTGTGCGTATTGCCTCGATATACCTTAATTCACAAGCATGGTTAGCAGGGATGGATAGTGGCTAGCAGTGGAATGGAGGACGCGCGTTTCGTCCTATTTGGGACTCGTCAGCTGGATGTACCTGCATCTCAGAGTTGATGTCCATTCTGGGACTCGAACCCAGTAACTCTCGCTTGAAACGCCATCGCGTTATCCACTCGGCCACTGAGTCCTGATAGCCACTCGCTTGTGCAATGGGGTGAAGTTGAAATTTACTTAGTATTGTTTGTTTGGATCTTCCCATTGATGTTTTAGGACTGCAACTGCTCAGTCTCTTATTGGCCATATGTGCATACTGTGCAAATCGCATTGTAACCAAAGATGGACAGTGGCTAGCAGTGGAATAATTTCGTTATTTCTAGATAATTTCTTTACTTTTCATATTGTTAAAACGTCATTTCAGCTGACAACTAGATTACACCAATGAAATTGAATCAGCAAGAAGGTATATATATATATATCGTAAGCAGTTATTCATTCTACTTTTTTGACTATTTTAACGGCTGGTTATCCTCTGAACGATTAATATTCTCTTGGGCGTTTGAATTTTATTTGACGTCCTTATAAGTTTGGTCTATGTAGTCATGAGCACTTGGTGTTAGTAATTTGTGTGTGTCATTCGTAGTTTTTATTGTAATAAGATGAAAAAAATTCGTAAAATTTTAAAGATATCCATTCAGTGTATATGTTTTTTACATGTAAAATATCCTGTCTCGTAAAATGTTGTCCAAAACTATATAAATAAAATTATTCCACTGACTGCTCCAATATATATGCTACTTTTTGTTATCCCTCTATACTAAAAACTAAGATGAAAACAAAAGCTGTCAGAAATACACACCTGACTGGTATAAATGATAGCGTTCAAATAGTGGGATGGCATTCAGTTTATTTACACTCAGTGCAATGCACCTAGGTGTACATATGGCGATACTATAATTTACGGAGGAGTCAATCAAAAGTGTTTGAGGAATTTCAAGGTCATGGAGCAAATTTCAGTACGTATTGCTCACGTGCTGTCGGTTCACAGTGGATTCTAGAGATGTTATAGTTGAGTGGCTACAATAAATGGGTCTACTAAGAAGTTCGTTTATTTGTAATTGTGTTAATCAAATGACTTGTAGACCTTGTTCAGACTACCGCGATGATGTTGAAGGAAGAAGTCTGCTAGGATAAGAACATTTTTGCTCGATCCTGATTGAAACTAAGGCAGATGATAATTGTAGCGAACTGGGTAATAAAAGTACCAGTAGCACTGGCTGCAGTATTTTCAGATGGTAGTGAAGCTTTAGCTGTTCACTGACATAAGTATTGTAGAGATATATAAGCAGTAAAAATGATAATTTTACACGAGCTGTTTGGGAGAGTCGAGAGAATCGTTCAAATATGCGACACAGACGAAACAGGAAACGAAAATTTAACAGAGGACTTAAAGTTAAAGAAGTCGATAAAGTAATTATCCTGGAGTTATTCGTTTTGTGAATATCAACTTTGATGTGTGAACGATTTATAGAATTCGTAGGCGTTTATCTAGCTATTAATATTATGTTTGAAGGCAAATGATGTACGAGCCTTCTACTAGTTGATTCAGAACTTCTAACATATTCTTATACGTTTTAGTCACAGAACACATCAAGATAGTTTGTACTGTTACGAATAGTTCCGGGTGTAAATATTTTAATCTGAGAACACAAAACAGTGACTAACAAAAGGTTCTAAAACAAGATATCACTAGATAGAAATCATAAAACGTGAAATGTATTTTTAGGTGAACAACGATAAATATATCCTGTCAGAAATACTCGTTGTTCATACAAAACCGTCCTGTTCACACATATGTCACGTTATTTCAAGGAATTCTCGCTCTTCCATACAAGGGATCAAGAGTCAAAAATGCATCATTCACGTGATAACGTCTGTTCCGTAATCCTTCAGCATGATTAGACAAACACGTAAAGTGGAAATTAAACTGTATTTATCAAATAAAACGGCACGGTTCCATAAAGAAGCTCAACAGTGAGCCGTTAAATTCCAATTCCAGAAGAAAAAATTGTTCACAGCACAGTATTATGATTAGAAATTATATGAAGATTATTAACAAACACCAATTTGTAAGGTGAATGCAACGTTCTATGTATCTGTATCATCTAAAAAGACTGATTACATAAATAATTAAATGAAGATAATTTACAAACAAATTGTAATCTGAATAATAGCTAGTAGTTGTTGCACTTAAACAATGGTTCAGTGAGTATAAAGAATTTGAATGTAACAGTTACAAATATTAGGAAGTGGTCATTACATTGAAAACACATTAATGACACAACAATCAAGGTTCAAACAAACAATACTAAATCAAGGTTCGTTGGACATTACAGGCTAATATTTTTCGAAATTTAAGTCAACTACTGAATTTCTTAAGTAGTGTAATGTGACGTACGAAATAATCAACTAGGCGAGAAATAATGGCCCTAATTACTAATGCATAAACCAATTGTCCATGAAAATAGTGTATATTCAGTTGGCATGCAAAATCACACATATATTTATTAGTTTTACCTTCACTGGATGTTAATTGGGGGAATAAATCATGTCATCATAAGTTTGATGCTATCTGGTGTTAAACCAGAAAACGTCAATTCTTGTCAGTCTTATTTTCAACCTTTTGGTGTTAGAAGACAATGTATTTTAGCCAGTATCATATTCTTCACGTTCGTCTCTTTGGTTGCGCGTTTTAACGTTTGGGACAAGAGAAATATAATTTTTATATCGGACATGATATATGAATATGTACGTTACTTCCAAGAAATATAACACTGTCGTTGGCCATAATTTGAACAGCAGAACGACGTATAGAGTGAGAGTTAAAAGAACTACGCTTTTTCAAAAATTCTACAAGTCATTCAATAAATAGGACAAAATATTTGGTCCAGAAAAGAAGTCACGAAAGCATCTTGAAAGACTGAATGTAAAAGTATATGAAACGAAATTGCAAACATTATTTCAGTCTATCAAGTCCTTCCATGTAGCAGTCTTTATAGAAACAAAGAGGTCATTTAGGATCAACTGTCAGCGTCCTTGTATTTTAGTTCAAAAGTAGTGATCATTGGTATCAGTGACAAAATGGGAAGTTCATTTTTACAAATGCTGACGAAAATTTGACTTATTAGATCGCCAAACGAGACTGATCAGTTCGATCTTAGTTTGGAATTTATATTTTTATTCAAATCTATTAAAGATCCCCTTAACGTTGACAGCTTTAGATTGACTTGAAGTATAAACGTTTAATAGTCTACTGATGAATCTGGATTCTCGACTGTAAATAGTAATGTTTGATTTGAAGGGAAACCAAGATGAACTAAAAAAGAAGAAACATATTTCGACTACTTCTTCACACTTTTATCATTAGTTTAGTTCACAGGCGCCCATTTCAGTTTTATAATTTCGTTTTAAAATTGTTCACAAGCACTTACGTATAAAAGAAAACAAACATATTTACGACATTTTAAAAATGTGTTTTCATAATTTTAATTTTGATTGAACGTTACCAATTGTGTTACAGATGCAGAGTTAAGAATAACGCATCTTAATATTAAGCTTTCATGGCAGAGTGTAAGCAATGAATATTTGTTATGAAAATATTGCGAATCAAATATTTATGCCTGGGTATTAACAAATAATTGCGTTTCTGTTAAAACGGACTAATTTTAGTGTATGATGCGCTTTATTCAGATTTTCTTACTAGTTGATGTTCGAAAATCTCTATTACTGTCTCTATTGTATGATTTACTCTAAGGCTATTGCATTGCTCATTATTCTGATAAATGCAAATGTATCAATGAATTTGTGGATTCGGTTATTTTAAAAACTTACGGCAGAACTGTAATGAGTCAAAATTTTGATGACGAAGAAGATTTTTACAATTGTTCCACCGTAAGTGAAACACGTGTGTAAGAGTATAATAAATTATGTGATGTATAGTTCCATTTTTTTAGGCTAAGGTGCTCCCTGACGTATATACCGATAACAAAACTGATGATTTAGACCATTCAATAAAACATTATTTTTTTATGCAACTTTAGTTCTCATTAGTCTAAGCAAGGTTACTGAAAGACGAAATTAACTACAACAGTCAATATTCACCAACTTTTAATTTCTATAGTCACTTCTTTTATTTCAATTATTTTGAGTGTTTTGTTTTATGCATTTA